TATCTGCTGCTTCTCCTCGCCCTTTTAAGTTGTCGGCCTCCCGTCCACTTGGGGGCGCTGTGGTTTGTTCGGCTCCTTTTTCACGCCATTTCAACATGGCCGCCTCCCGTCAGCGAGGTTAGCCCAACGGGAGGCTCCTCGCGTTCTGCCCAATATCGGGCCCTGTGAGCACGCCACAAGGCGGCCGCCGCTCGGCACCGTTTGTCGTACGAACATGTCGCTTTATCGGAGAAGCTTTTTGGCCGCCGCGCTCCTCGGAGCGGCTCGGGCGCACAACATTCGCAGGCTGAGCCGCTGCCAAGCGCTCGTGTACGCGAACCACGGAGATCCTTCCCGTGTCATTCAGTAAGATTTGGGAAAACTCCGTTTCAATTCTTTTTGTGGCCGGAGTCCGTCATTCTCGCCGCGTTGATCGTCTACGAATGGGCGCGACGGAAACATGTTCAAGAAAAAAGACAAACGTTTAACACGTCAAGGCGTTGTGCTTATTTACGCAAAAGTATTCAGCCACATTAAACAAAAAAAAAAAACACCACGACAGTGATTCTCTTTTGAGCGCCCGAAAGAAGAGTAACCACCATCCATCCATCCATTGTGTGAACCAGTCTTTCCTCAAATGCCCCGTGCTTGAAAGTTCAAGACAACGGAACCGGAACTGCGTGCTTCGCTTTGGATTTGGACCTTGTCTTGGCACCGGTTAATCAGAAATAGCATTCCATGTATTCTTATGCGTTTGTTGTCGCTCATGTTTTACTCACGAAAGCCAGCGTGCCACTCGCGGTACCCGTTAAGAATCATTGACGATTTTAGGAAACGCGGCACATTCCCAGAACAATCCTTTGTCCGCTCGATACCTGGCTTTGAGTAGAATGTGAGGGCTTTGTTCCTCATCAGGTTGAAGAATGTGGATCTTCGCCCGGTGGGTCCAAAAGATGTTCTGGTGAAAATCCTGGCCGCTCCCATCAACCCGTCCGACATCAACATGATCCAAGGTAACAATCGACGGAAGCGCGAGAATTGGGCGGTGAAGCCCGTCTTTTCGGGAAGAACAAAGATCCACCAGAGTTCATGAAGCCCCTCGCCTCAGTTCCACATCAGTTCAACTCGATTGAAAATATTCTTTCTTTTTTGTTGTTGTTGTTGTTGTCGTTCAGGGACATACGCTATCCTGCCCGAGCTGCCGGCCGTCGGCGGCAACGAGGGCGTGGCCCAGGTGGTGGAGGCCGGCGGCCGGGTCGCGTCGCTCCAAATCGGAGACTGGGTCATCCCCAGAGATGCCGGCTCGGGTAAATGAACTCTTGGGCGGGCGAAGTCGCTCGCGCGCATGAGCGAGCCGTTTGTGGCCCGTCTGTCTGTCTGCGCGCGAACAACAGGCACGTGGAGGACGGCGGCCGTGTTCGACGAAGACGACGTGATCGCGGTGCCCCGTGACATCCCCCTGTTGGCGGCCGCCACGCTCGGGGTGAACCCCTGCACCGCCCTCAGGATGTTGGCCGACTTTGAGCACCTGCAGCCGGGTAGGGAGCGCCGCCCGTGTGCGACAAACGCCGATGTGTTGTTCGAATGGAACCATCGCCAAATGTCACCATGTGATCGGATCGCGATACGAAACCTTGCGATACAACGATGAGCGCCATACTGCGGGGATGTTAGCGATTTAAAAAAAAACAAACAACAAACATGCTCATCATGTAATTGCTTCTGTCTTTATTTTGAAATATGATGGCTTTATTTTGAAAGCCCAGTTGACCAGGCGACGTGGCGATGTTCACGACGTATCTCATTTCATCTCCAAAAGAGACAAGTCGTTCGGATTTTATCCAAGGTTTTCTTCGGGCGCTGCGCTTTCCTCCCGCATTCCAAAAACACGCGGCGTCGGCCAACGGGGCCCGTCCTCGATGTGATCCTGAGCGCCAACGGTCGTCGGGCCGCGCGCGCCCCGCGACGGGCCGGCGAGCCGTCGGGGGCGGAGCCCGGCCCGATGTCGTCGCGCTCGCGGCCGGCGCTCGCGCCCGTTCCCTCTCCGATCATGTGACTTCATTCGGGTTTGACTTGACGCCGCTCGACTGCGCAGGCGATTCGCTGATCCAGAACGCAGCCAACAGCGGCGTGGGGCAGGCGGTCATTCAAATCGCTGCGGCCAGGGGAATCGACACCATCAACGTGCTGCGAGACAGGTACTGTACCTCCCTCCCGGCGACGGCTTCGGCTTCACGCCGCGTGACTCCACTTCTCGTCAGAGCAGATAGCGCTCGACGCTATCGCCTTTTATGGCACCCGCGGCGCACTTCCTCATTTCTTTGCGTCCAAAGGCCGCAGTTCGCCCGGCTAAGCGATCGACTGAAGGCCCTGGGAGCGAGTCACGTGATCAAGGAGGACGCGCTGAGGCGCCCCGACTTGGAGGAACTCTTCAAGGTGCGTCGGTTTTCCGCGAGGCCGAAACACTCGTCGGGGTCGCGAGGTTGAGCCGGGCGGGGCCCATCCCGGCTGACGTTGAGCAACGCAAGCATATTGGCCAGCGATCGCTCGATCGATGCGTCGTAGCGTCCCAATCCAAAGTACCATTTATTATGATTTTTTTTTTATTTCCAGACGTGCCCAAAGCCCAAACTGGCCTTGAACGCCGTCGGAGGAAAGAGCGCCACCGAGCTGCTGCGTCATCTCCAGTGAGCGCGCTGGCCGCCGCCGTCTCGCGAGACGGCAGAAACGGCGCGGCCGGCGTCATAACGCGAGCGTCTTTGTGGCAGGGTCGGAGGCACCATGGTGACTTACGGCGGGATGTCCAAGCAGCCCGTCGCCGTCCCCACGGTATGCCGCGTCTCGTCGTCTTTTCCCCTCCCCCCGTGGTATTTTCTCACTGGCGCGTCTCCTTTCGCAGAGCGCTCTTATTTTCAAGGACGTAAAAGTGCGCGGCTTCTGGGTGACGCGGTGGAAGAGGCAACACTCAAACGGTGAGGTGGCACGCACGCGCGGCCGCGTACGTTGGACGATATTCGTGACGCCCGTTCTGACTTCAAGGGGGCGGCGTGGCGGCGGCCCCCCACTGTGTGACGGCGTGGACGCGGGTGCGAATGGTTCATTCACTTTCACCTTGCTTTTTATCTCCACCACGGTCTTTTTTTTTTGGGGGGTGGGGGGGACTCTTAGCGAGCTGACAGTTTCGGCCTCGGTCGGAGCCGTCACCGCTTCCTTGCGACCCGTCTGATGAAAAAGAGCTCGAAAATCTGCGCGGCGTGCTCGGCGGCGGCCAAGTGGAACCATGAGACGGGAATCGATTTTTGGGCTTTCTTTGCCAATCCAGGAGCGGTGAGAGCCACGCTGGCCGAGCTGTGCGCCCTCCTGCGCCAGGGAAAGCTGAGCGCCCCCGCCTGCGCCGAGGTGCCTCTGAGCGACTACCGCCGAGCCCTGGACGCCGCCGCGCAGCCCTTCGCCGCCGCCAAGCAGATCCTGATCACGTGAAGACGCCTCACGAAATGGCAACGCTTCAGGTTCGGTGTCGCGACCCTCGCTCCGGTTCGCCGATGATTACCGAGCGGTAAGAGGCGTCATCCGCAACCGCGCCCGAAATCCCGACTTTCACCACAATTGAGGAACAGATGGCTCCGTTTTATTTGTTGACTTCACGAAGCGTCCAACTCAAGGGAGTCCGATATCGTGCAGTCCCATGCGCCGAAGCTTGTTGTTTGGATTCGATTGACAGCGGAATCATCGGCGACTTGCCAACTTAGTTTGATTACATGAAAATGCGAAATTCTGTCATGAAAAGGCCAATTTGGAGGCCAACAGGCGGGATGGACAAAGTCTCCACACCCGCTTCCAAATCGTGGATTTGGGATCGTTAAAAAAAAGAAAAAAAAAGAATGCAAGTTTTTTTTTTCTCCACCCTTAATGTGACACCGTCCAACAAATCGATTTTCAAGAGGGCAAGTCAAAATAAATAAGTGAGATGATTGAAAAGGAAGTTGCGCGTGCTCTTCTTCCAACTCCTTCCTGCTCCGCTGTGGGATCATCGCCGCCATCTTTTTTGGGTTGCGCGCGGCAACAAGCGACGGCATCGCGACTAGCGCCGGGCGACAAGAAGCGCGACGCTGGCGGCCAGGCCCAGGACGCCCGGCGGGATTCCCGCCGGGCC